ATTCTGCACATTAATGGCTGAGGTCGTATTCGATAGGAAGAAGTGAAGAACATTTCCTTGCTTGGACGAGGTTTCATGAAGACCTGAGTGTCGGGTATCTTCTCGAGATGACCGTGGGGATGGACAATTCGGGAGTATGGTTGTAAGATAAAGTTTTGTTTCCAGCTTATGTACATTGATCTTCTCTTTGTAAGTAATTAGCACATTCTTGTTGCTTCTCTCAACTGAAGTAACAAAAAATCTCTGTGATCTTACATCTCAGCTCTTCTTTATGTCACAACTACCAACAGCTGCTTTACTTTACATGTTGATGGTGATCGAACTGTAGGATAGTTAGACATTATGCTAGTTATTCAAATCCCTTGTCTTTTCTGCAGGAATGATGTTTATAATGATTTGCTGCTGTCTTAATTGTGTTATGTATTTCTTATATTTTGAAATTGTGCCTTTCTTAGTGTGTTATTATCAGTATCAGATTAGGTTTACATGGTAACTCTCGTATGCTTGTCTTTGTTACTCATGCTTCATTTTCCGCCATGTTCATCCTTACCTTCATATCTTGCACTTACTAAGATGCTTACTATAGGGTATATAAGAAAAAATATTATTTGTCTGATTGTCTCGCTTAGACATCATTTTGGTCCGTATAAGATGAGGTTTAAATGGGTAATTCTCTTATGCTCATCTTTGTTGCTCTACTCTTTCAGTGTTTGATACTTCCTTTTCCCCATGTTCATCCATAGCTTCATGCACTGGTCGAGACACTTACTAAAGGGTATATATGAAATATTACTTGTCCACTTAAACATAATGGGTAATCCTAGGGAGTTGATAAATTGTATTCTTGTATTTTGATGTATTATCCTTCCTATTTCATGGTCAGTTGAACATTCTTGGGCGAAGCATGTGTTGATCTACTGGCTAGGAGTAGCATCTCTTCATAGCTTCTAGTCTGTATAAACCCACCTTTTCTCCCTCCCTTGTCTTTCCTTCAATGCATTTGTAGTACCTAGGAACTAGGTCAAGTATAAATTAAGAGTGCAAATCGTATTAATCTCTATCAAATGCATAATCTAGTCTTGTACCCTTTTTCCTTTGGTGGCTGAACTTAAAATTGAAGTCTGGAAATCTCAGATTCCTCTACATCAGCAGGCATAGTATCTATGGTTTCGGGCAAAATGCTGCAGGACTTGTTGAGTTTGTGTCATACTCGCCCAAGGTGTGGTCGTGTGGTCAATGAAGTGAGAGGTAGAACCATGAGGTTTCAAATTCCAGCGGAGGCATTAAACACTAGGCGATTTCTTTCCATCTTCCTAAGCCTTGATTGACAGAGTTACGCTTTACCTGTGCTAGTGGTAGGTAGCAGGTACCCACTGTAATAGTCGAGGTGTGCACAAGTTTGCCCAGACACCGCCATCCTAAAAAAAACAAAGATTGTGCCATACTCTGGCCAGATAATGAACTACTCAATTTCCTTTCTCTGAAATCATTCTGAGCTGACACTTCCATTTGCTGCACAGCTGAGCAGAAGTCTACAATCTTTTGACCAAAGTTCTAGCTGCATGATGTTTAAGATTGCTTTTATTGAATCCATTATTGCTAACAACCGGGTCTATAGATTCTTGAACAGTGGGTACGCAAGCATCTGGGATCTGATTTTACAGTGAGCCGTTGAACATTCTCCTCTGATAAGCACAGTCGTTTCACTATCTCTGTAATTCAGCAGGAAGCTGACCCACGATCCAAAAACCATTATTGGAGTGAACCCCTCCCTCATTAAACCACAATAAAAGCAGATCTAGTCTTAAAGCTATGATGTCATTCCTTTTTGTAGGGTAGACGTCCGTGTTGTCTGTTGATACTTGACAGGCATGTTCTGTCTGACACAAAGCTGATTATGTTTGGATGAACCTTGAAATGCCTTTGGCCAGTAGAAAACTGGAGAAATGAGTCTGTTCCTTTAATAGTCTACAGTAGTCGCTGGCCTTGGTTACCAGTTGCCACATCGTGGCTAGTCTCTTCACTCGACTATTTAGGGAGGCAAGATCGACCAATGTACTTGATTCTTGATGATGCAGATGATAGTTGGAGTCTGTTAAACATTATATTTCTTTCTCTCTCTGTTGCTTTGTTTTCAGCTAAATTCTTGGATTTAGAAGTGAGGCTGCTTTATGAGATGGGTAAAGAAGGGATATGTGTTTCCTCTCTGTCTTGCATAGTTTGGAAACCTCAATCTGAGCTTCTTTACATCTCTAAGCGCCATTTTTAAGTCCCTGAGCCTGTCGCTATTGGACTTCAAAATGGATTTTGGAGTTTATTACTACTAACTAAAACATTCTCTAGAAAAGGTAGAGACTTGTGGAGCTACCTTTGTTCAAGGGATGTCAATTGACTGTATTGATAGGTCATTCTTTTTTAATGTTCTTCATATTTTCACTATCTTTGTGAAAATTTTGTCTCCGCTACTATGCAAGATTTACCAGTTATGTGGATGTTCCCTTTGGAGTAAGATTTTGAATTCTGAATCCATACCTTGCCAGATGTCACCCACCTCCCTGTCAATTCGAACGAGGATGATACTTGTGAATGCCGTAATGAAGTAAAGCAATTGTTAAAGAAAAAGGCAAGGAGCGTATCGAGAGAGAATCTTTTATTTCTCTCTTCTCTCTGTCCAACCATACTTGTCTACTATTGATTTTGCACTCTTCTTAAAAAAAATAAAAAATAGAAGAGTAATTTTATCATATAACCATTTATATATAATAAATACAATATCTTGAAAAATGTAATAGGGAAATGAATATAAGAAAATGACTATAACTAATAATAAGGGTAAATTAAGAATTATGTGTAAAATTGTCCATTGATTTTATAAAGTGGACAAATATCATCGAACATCTCAAAATATTATACTGGACAACTATTGTTGAACGGATGAAATGGTATAATATTTTAGTGGGCATGTTAGAAAAGTGACAAGGTGAAAGGTAAAAGAGGGAGACAAGGTCATTGGTACTCGTAGCCTTCTCTTGGCTAGTCCTTAGCTTTGGGATTTAATTATCTCCTAATTTCGTACGACCAAATACGAAACCTTCTCATGTTTGTTATTAATTTGTCATTTCTTGATCCTGCTCTCTCAAATATGTCTATCTATTGTTCTCCTAATCTCCACTTTTTAAGTTATCTACATTAACTAATTATGCATTTTTGTTTTAACTTCATCAAGTTATATTAATCTATAGTACGAAAAAAAAGTTAAATTAGTAAAATATCTCGATTTCCGTAAAGAGCGAGCCTGCAATTCCCGCATTGGAACCAGCGGGGAAGAAGGCTAGCACCAGAGAAACCACACAGTTTTCAAGGATCAGTCACTTGGAGGGTACATCCCTCATGTCTTAATATATTAAGAAATATACTTCCTATATTTCAAAATAATTGAATTGTTAAGACATTTTTTATTTTTCAAATTAACTTAATTGTTCAATTACTTTTAAAATATTCTTCCATTTTTAACCTTCATTTGGATTTTGTATGTGATAAGTTTACGAAACTTCAATTGCTTTAAATTCTTTTCTTAGAAATTTCTTACATTAATGTGACTGAGATTTTCATAAAAAATAATTCTTCACTATATTTACAAATTAATACTCCATCGTCGGAGTTATACTCTACTTGTCATTTACACCAAATTTAAAAGTGAATTAGTATATTTTATGAATTTTAATTTTGAAGATTCGATTGAAATAGTTGACAATCATATGAATGAAGACTCAATTGATATAATTCAAGAGATTTTTTTTTAGTCATTTTAAAGAGTCGCATATTGAATTTTGTATTAGAAATTAATTAAAAATTTAGTTATTATGATTAATGTTTAGTTATTCTAAAGATTAGCTTGACAATAACTAATAAGGGTAAAAATGAAAAGTAATGTTTGATTTATGTCCTAATCTTCTTTTCTTATTGAGTGTGAAACATCCTTGCAATTTAATTATTTGAAATGGAGTGAATACTCCTTATATATTTCTCGATTATTATTTTGATGAACAAATGGATTAATCTTTTTATACCATTAATATTATCTAAATACTATAATATTAATTTGTTTTATATTTACCAATCAATGCTATTGAGTATTTAACAAGATTGTATAAACAGTAATTTATTTAACTATGAGTTGCAGTAATGTTTTAAATAACAAGATTGTATAGATATTTTTACAAGATTACCCCCAAAGAAAACAGTGGAAGCCGAAATGGCATCCAAGGCATATCAATATTTGTTTATTTTATTATTTAACACACTTTTTAAAACTTTAGTAAGATGGTGTACAGTAGCCGAATCTGTGAGTAAGGTTTAAGTACATTTAATTTAATTTTGCTACTAAAAATTCACTCTCCGTTATCTACTCATGATTTGCATGGCACCTTGTGGAACCATATATAATTAACAGCTCATCATCTCTTATAAAACTATAAAAAAAAAACTGACAACTTTTAACTAAAGATAAACTATGACTTAGCTTGTTCAAACCCACTACTGCATATATTTTGTTTCTTATTGTTTTGTCCTTCAAAATCAAATAATTAATTACAGTCCAATATATTTAATTCATATTAGATAGTAATTAGTAGATAGATATTTATAAAAAAATTTAACCGAACTATACATTTTCTTATTTCTCCCTAGAAACTTTCTTTTTTTTTTTTGTAAAATCACAACATTAAAATTAATTCTTATTATCCGAGCAACTCTCTGTTCATTAATAAGTCATCTTAAAATATTTGATGAGTTGAGATTACCGAAGTATTGCAGAAGTTGGGCCGGGTTTTATATATATATATATTAGAATAAGACAGGTGTCGGAATCCTAACTTTGACTCAACTTTTATTTTTGAACTCTATAAAATCCCACATTAATTCTACTATATCTACTACTCCCACTCTCTTGATGAAGAAAAAGAGAAAATTAATCTATGCTTTTTTAAGTTCACAATAATATGGTGTCACTTAGTTTCAATATTCAGCTTGTACTTGTAATTGCTTTGCTCCTTCTACAGCAAATACAACACACTTCAGCTAATGCTCTGTTTGGTAACTACACTTCAATACATACATTTTCTTAATAGCCTATCTACAAGTAGTAAATTAAGTAATATGTCTCCCCTGCTTTGCTTTCTGTAGGAAAGCTAAGGAAGAAAGAGTGGCTAAAATTTACCTCTATGCAAAATGATCATGTATGTTATGTATACGGAATTACGCTTGATCTGATTCTTCATCATTTTCGCTTAGTAGTATACTATTTATGTTTATTCTTTTGAAATATGCAGGATTCTCATGTAGATGGTATCATTGCATCTGGTGGAGGAATTAGAAAAATGCTAGTGTATAAATTTTCAGGTATATATATACTACTACTACTAGGCCTAGCTAGTCTGTTTTAATATATATATATATATAGTGATCATTTAATTTCAAATCGATCCCTTTGTTGTAGTTATGTTCTGACATCACTAAAAAAAAGAAGCTATATTGCTAAATAGCTAGTAGCTAAAATGATTTTCTGATCATTTTGAACTATTTACTTTTTAGTAATAAAAGGCGTCCGATCAGTAATTTTTTTTTTTCTTTCTGGGTAGTGAAAGGAGATGCTGGATTTGATTCAATGAAAACCTCTCACATGAATGCTCAGGTTCTCTTTTCCCACTTTCAAGTACACTGCATAGATTTTCCTTTTAGTGATAATATTTATTATCATAAAAACATTTAGCGATAAATGTTATTATATTTAAAATTATTAGAACTTTTGACATTTATATAGATGACTGATTATAAATATCTATATTATAATATTATCGCTAAATTATTTATTTGTTATAATGGTACTTCAACAACCTCGGCTCATGAAGAGGAACAAACAGACACACATACCTTAAAAGATGCTGGCATCACGCTCTAACTCACGGGCACAATATTACTCATCTGCTGTTTATTAATTAAAAAATGGATTTAACTTATATCTACAATATATAAATATAAAAGTTCAATTCTTATATTATTTGTGCATTTTTTGATAAATATGAACACGCCTTAGTTATTTTCTGAATATTAATCCTACTTTTTATGAACTTTACCTATAGTTATCACTTAGATAGCCTGATGGTTATAACACACATACCCATCAAGATTTAAGTTGATAAGTTAGAGAAAAAGTTACCTAATATATTTTTTATGTTCACTGGAATTTGAACTTGATCATTTAAGTTAACGCCACTTCATTGACCACATCCATACCTTTAATTTGATCACTTTTTTCTTATTCTTGCATTATATTACTAATTTTTATAGTGAATTACTAGGTCTATAGCCAAATATTCGAGAAGAATCATGAGAGAGGTAAGAAAGAAGAATCAAAGGAGTTTGTTGATGTAGAAGATGAAATAGCAAAGCTTCTGACCAAAGACTATATTGGAAGAAGCAAGCCTCGCCGCAGCAAACCACCCATCAATAATCACAAGCCTACGGACTAATTAAAACAGGTGATTTATAAGAATAGTACTGAAGGTAGGTGATCTTGAACTTTTCTCTCACTTACCTCAAGGGCAAAACTTCAAGCTTAACAACTTTTAACCTTGAAGGTTCGTCTATGAACCAAGTGGGGGTCAAAAATTCAAGATAGTCCATTTTCAAGATCATTAGGTGTAATTTCTTGAATTAAAACCTTAGTAGTAGTAACTAGTACAAGTAGTGTTCAGATTTGGGCCTCACAATTTTGCCCCCTACTAGTGAAGGCCCAAAAATCATGTTTGTTATTGTACATTTGTTTCCTTTCTTTCTTTATATATATTACTCTATCAAATTCCGTTTAATCTGTATACTGTAGCTGAAAATTAGTCACGTCAAGGTATTTTCATCGACATGCTTATGTAAAACACTAATTTAGGTACAGTATATTGCAATTTAATGTAGTACGTTAAAAAGAACATGACTACATTATATTATACCAAAAATAGAAGGATTGGAGATGAATAAATGCAGAGCCTTGAAGGTTGTTGAACATTACTGCAATCTCGTTATATTCTTCAATGTATTGTCCGTTGTGGTCCAAGTGCCTTCTCAGTGATATAATACAACCAATTGTTCCTATTTCGAATATTACTACCTTTGTACCTCCAATGGATCCATTTTTATTTCTTTTTCAAAGAGGTAGAAGCAACAACCAAATTAACAACCAATAAATGAGACTGCTCCTTTCTTAATTTGAGATTTCAAGTCCAATTTTCTAAGTATGAAAAAAGTCCTACACAGTATGAATCTGATATAGACGGGCCCAAATGCGGGTACCAAATAGAAAAAAAAACATATTAAATTTATCTAACATGTTGTAGTATATATATATTGGCTGACCAGTTCAGAGGCAATACGCACATGATTGGAGGACCTATTCATGGCACAAACACAAATGCTTCTGACCAAAACCAACCAAACGAATATTTTTATTTTACTTCAATTTGTAGTCTGGCAGAGGACCATTTCTTTATTGGTTACTTCAAACCTAACCAACATTCATTTGCTTTCACAACTGGTTTTTAGGGCCCTACATTTCCCCTCAAGTCAAACCATTAAGGTAAAATAAATACTCTCCAAAAAAATCAAATATGTTTTCAAAACCCAAACCAAATTTCGAAGAGTACTATTGGTCATAATTCATAATCAAGGAAGTAAGAGTTTTCACTTGTTCAAAAAAAAAAAAAAAAAAAATCATATGAAAAACAATTACTTTTTATTTACGTAACAAAAAAAAATTAGCCTTATATATGATGTAATTTTGAGAAGAACACCAAAAGAAAATAGGCCGGTCAGGTTAAACAAATGAATTTCTAAAAAAATTAGGGATGAATCATTTATTTTTGAGCTTGAGACATGATCATTCGTCAAAATTAAGGATAAATTTGTGTCAAAGTATAATAAAGTGCTATATTTAGGCAGAAAATATAACAAAGATACCTATATATTTGGATCCAAAGTATAAATATATATTTTTTGTCCTTTTTTTGAAAAAAATAATAATAGTAAAATACGTCAAAGAGTTCCTAGATCGTAGTATATGAAGCTGTAAAATAAGTTAGTTACACCCAAATTGACTAGATAGCAGCAAAGAAAGAAACAAGAAGACCACCAAAATGGCTACATTGAAAAATCAACGATACACAAACTTGAGGAAATCCAAAGGCGGACTCGCCCAAGTTCTGTCAAACCCCTTAACATACGCCCATTAATGCGTCCTTAGCCACCCCAAATGTTTAGTAGGGCTATGCTTTTCTACTACTAAAACCCAAAAGTAAACCGCGTGCATTGGCTTTTTTCCCATTATTCCACTGCGCTAATTCCACAATTGATAGCATACCCTTTTACGGTTTCTTTCTCTTTTTCTTGGTTTTGATACAAACCCAATGAGATCCCCTCTGTAGGTATGATTTTTTTAAAAAAAATCAAGATTCTTGATTTTTATTTTCTGCGGATTCAGTTACATGTATTGTTCTTGTATTTTAGATGTTTTGTTTATGGGGTTTGGGGGGGGGGGGGGGAGTTTCTTGCTTTCGTCTGTTTGCTTGAGGAGTGGACTGGGGTCTTCAAGTATTTTGATTGTGAATGAAAAGAGTGGTCTGATCTAGTTCTTTAACATAATCTTGGACTGCAGGCTTTCTTGAAAAAAAAAACTACTTTTGTTGGTTTGTGTATTATGAAATAAAGCAATAAGGGATGATTATTGTAGTCTGTCAGGGTAAGTAGAAGTTTTGAATCTTTGTTTTCACTGGATTTCAGGGTATTTTCCATATGGAAACTCAAGGGTATATTTTGGAGTCTTTCACTGTTAGATGCCATTAATTAAGTTAGAATTTCAACACCAATCAATGTGTTTTACGCGAAGCCAAATGGAGAAGAGGAGTGGTATAATGCTTCAGGGGCTATGGTTTAGCGTACCTGATTTTTTTCGTTCTTTCTTTTCATAGATTATGCTTTTTTCTTTCTGGTGAAATATCAATTTGCTTTTATTCAATTAGTCCCACATGAATAATATGACCGTTGATCCCTGTGCGCACCCAAAGGGCAGTGGCTGCGGATTCCCTCGTCATAAAAAGAGTAATAGATTTGTGCACAATTTGTCTTTAGATGCTTTTGACATTTTTCTCCAGAGGGAGGGTATTCCCCTGCTGATGCTCCCTCGTCCCTACAATTGCTAAATTCAATTGACAATGTAAAATCTTTTTGTTCAAACATTTATAGAATTTATTTACCTTATCGAACGGAATTCTTCTTCCTACTGTCAATATGAACAATGTACCTGGGGTGGGGTGGGGGTTTACTCCACTGCTGGTGCTTGTTGCTCCCTGCTGGCCCAATTTAGTTGACAACATGTAATATTTCTTCCTTACGCCAGTATAAATAATATCATCAAGAACCATATGTTCTTCCAAGTTTAATGCTTTCTTACTTCAATATTTAATTTGTATATTGACTGGAGAAGGTGCACTATTCACTTTTGAATGGTTATTTACTTTTGTTATGACAGATAAGCTCCATCCTAGTCTCACAACATGGTCAAGTTTCTTGTTTTTGGGAAAAGATTGAAGAATGGTTCATAAAGCTGATTTAGTTATTATTGGCATCTGTGTCGGTGTGGCTTTTGGAATTCTCATTGCATCACTTGTTTTCTTTGGAATTCGGTGGTACAAAAGGCGTGTTTGTCTTCAGCACCATGCAAATGAGAGATCTGTAGCAACTCTTCCAATACGGACAAATGGACTTGGAACAAGCGTTGATTTTAGTGCATCTCTGTCAAATTCTGTAGCTATTAAGACATCAGGATTTCCTGCCACAAATCCACAGCACAGTTGGTGGAGTCACCCTACTAAAGATCAATTTGCTTCAGCATCTGGATTACCAAGATATTTTTACAAGTATGTAATCTACAACTCTAAAGGGATATTAATATCTTTGGTGGGGAAATTACCTTGTAGATGACGAAATTCAACAGCTTTTCATGTTATTGCATCCTAAATAGTAACTAAGGGAAACTCTTCAATCATGGTTCCTCTTCTTAATGTCTATTGATTAGCAACTTAAGAGCAATTTAAATCCATAAAACATACATAGATACCTTTTGATCCCGTGTATTTCAGAAAGTTTTCTAATTGTCTCTATAATTTCTCTCTGGCATTGCCATCAGGCTTTGGTTCTTTTCTTAGCGGCAAGCTGATGACTTCTTCTCCCTTTTGTCTCTATGCTTGCTTCGTTTGTCATCATATAAGCATGTTGAGAGATTATGTAATCCAGGTGTCAGAATGCAATGGAATTTTTTTATACATTGCGTTGTTTCCCCAACTAATGAAACTATTGGTCCTTCAAATACACATTGGATGTGTTAGGCAATCAGGTTTGAAGAATGCCTTGAAGTTGTAATTGGCAATTTTTCTTAGCATTGTTAAAATAAGCCTTTTATTGAATACATTTTTCTCTATGAATTCCACATGAAACTGCTTAACAATGCCAACTGTCTGTGCTGATCATTTTTTGGAACCCCAGGGACATTCAAAAAGCTACCCAAAACTTTACAACCATACTGGGACAGGGCTCTTTTGGCCCAGTGTACAAAGCTACAATGCCTGCTGGTGGAGTAGTTGCGGTGAAAGTTCTTGCTACTGACTCAAAACAAGGAGAGAAGGAGTTCTTTACAGAGGTATGGATTGCTCGTTAACTTTTTCCTAGAGAAATAACAGTGTTGTCATTTCTATGAAGAATTATTCTGCTGCAGCATCCTTATTATTTAGCCTCATCCAACTGTGAAAGCTAAAGTAGTGGCTCTAAACTGTATCTATATATCCCTTTTATTGAGATTTATGTTCACATAAATAAGAATTTTTTTCGAGGTATACAATATTTCACATTAGATGCATAAGGGTACCCATAACTGGTTTATGAAACACATGGTTTACCCACTAATTGTCTTAAAACATTGGGTTGGATTAGATTCTTTTAATATATTAGAGCTAACCGTTGATAAATTTATTCCTCACTTGTGAATTCAATCTTTTAATCCATGTGTAGACCCTATAATTGGGTTATGTGTGGGAGGGTATTTAAAATCTGCAGTGCCTAATGTCACGTGTAAAAGGACATCCAAGACTGTTTAAAGGTTCTGGATTAGCTCTACTCATTACCTACCCATTATCTTAGTGTTTTGGATGAGACACTCAAATTCTTTTACTAGTGTTTATGAACTATATCAAATTTGTTTGTACATTGGTCCTCGTAAATAATTTATCTATCATCTTGGTCAGTCTAAGAAACCTCAAACCAGTTATACATCTGCCATCTTAATATAGCGATAAAAAGGGGGCTCTCAAATGAACATTTTATCTTGTAAGGCGGAGATGATGTTACCGCATTTCAATGTAACTGGATGAGACTTGTACGCCAGGTGGGCTCTAAGATAATGGTGAAGCATATTTACTTGGGACATATTTAGGGAAAAATTCCTATTTACATGAAGTTGAAAAATCGGCCAAAAAAGAAGCTACCATATAGGTTCTAAAGGTCTTAAGAGGTTCTTGAAGCATATTGATTTCCAACTCTCAAACAGTACAATAATGCATCTTATGCTCCTCTATTTGTATTTCTCATGAAGGTGAATGTTCTCGATAAAGTTTTGATTTAAATTGGTGTTTGTGCAGGTAACACTTCTAGGCAGGCTTCATCATCGGAATTTAGTAAATTTGGTGGGCTATTGTGTTGATAAAGGACATCGCATGTTAATATATGAATTCATGAGTAATGGAAGTTTGGCAAACCTTTTATACAGTAAGTGTATTACTCTTTTCCGTTGATAACATTACTTTATTGGAGATAGCTGCTGATGAGAAACTTCTAGACATTTTTCTCCTCCTAGCTTAAAGCTGCCTGGGAAACAGTAAGTCAGTTTTTTTTTGCAATGGAACAACCACTTCCCGTAGAATCATCACTTCACTTAAAGTAAAGGAATCTGGAGTGGATGATCAGTAAACAGAAAATAATCTGAATGTTAATTGTCTCTATGGTTATACATTCAATGGAGCTTCTTGTTGTCCTTCTGTGTGGTTTCTCTATTTTAAATCTTTTGTTGACTAAGAAGAGGTGATGAAACTGTTTTGTTCTGCACATGTTCAGGTGAGGAGTACAGCTTGAGTTGGGAAGATCGGGTGCAAATAGCCCTTGATATTTCACACGGCGTTGAGTATCTCCACGATGGGGTAGTCTGACTGATCAATTTACTTCTATTTGCCGTGGTCACAAGACTGGTTACTTATTCTTGGTTCGCATTTCTTCCAACAGGCAGTTCCCCCAGTGATACACCGTGATTTGAAGACTGCCAATATATTGCTAGATCAATCTATGAGAGCTAAGGTCAGTGGAACTCCATGCATCATCGAATTAGTTAGAAAATTAAAGTACACTCAAGTTTGCTGCTGTTGTTGTCTATTAAATTGCTTCCTTTGCATATTAGCCGAAGTTGTTGCTTCCAAGTATTTACCTCTTCCTTTATAACTAGGTTGCTGATTTTGGGCTGTCAAAGGAGGAGGTATATGATGGCCGCAATTCAGGCCTTAAAGGTACATATGGCTACATAGATCCTATGTATATATCCACAAGCAAGTTTACAACAAACAGTGACATATATAGCTTTGGCATTATCCTTTTTGAACTAATCACCGCTATTCATCCACATCAGAACTTAATGGAATATGTAAATCTTGTAAGTTCCCAGATCATCCCATATTTATTTTTTCTTCAAATGCAAATTTTACGTTCTCTTATTTGTTCTTGACCTGTTATGTACAAAGGCGGCTATGAGTTCAGATGGGGTTGATGAGATCCTAGACAAGAAGCTTGTTGGAACATGCAGTGTAGAACAAGTGAGGAGTCTTGCTGCAATTGCTCATAAATGCATACATAGAACACCTAAGAAGCGTCCTTCCATGGGCGAAATATCACATGCAATATTGAAAATAAAACAGAGGCGCCTTGTCAAAGAAGATACCATGTCATTTACAGGATATGACAGTTCAAGAATGGCAAGAAGGATAGAACATCAACAGGTTGAATTGAGAAACATGGCCAGCATTAATGAAAGAGAAGTTGAATGACTTTTCATTCACAACCATGAACACTTTGTTTCAATTCTTGACCTTATTTTTGCAGCATAAAAGATATAGGAAAGACATCATACAGAGTGTTGAATCAACAAATTGGCATGAAATTGTGTTTTTGGATACGATTCAAGTTATATAAACTAACCGTGTAAAGAATTTTTATATGGGAAAATTTAATTTGACAAGTTGTAACATGTATCCTTCTTTCCACGTCTTACTAATTCAAGCTTATTAATACCTTGAATTTTTTTCAAGTTCATGTTCAACATTTTCACTTTTAAATGCCTTTTTTCAATTTATATTTAAATGGAAAAAAATTCCCAACTTTAGCCAAATAACAACTTTAGGAGCCGTTTGGTACGATGTATTAAATGAGATATTCTTTGTATTACAATTTAGTCTACCCATTAGTTGCACAATTCAACTCAATTGCATCTAATACATAAAATAACTTAATACACCATCTAATATCTAGGATATCTAGGAATTACTAATACCAGATTTAATGATATTTGGATAAGACAACAAAATGACTGAACTGCCCATAATTTCTTTATATAATCGTTAAGAATTGGTAAAAAAAAAACATCCTATTTCTCAATTAAACAAGCCTAACTATTATTCAATTTTATACTTCAGTTTTACAATTGCAGAAATAATATTTGCGATCAAATTTTGCATCCAATTGAAAAATAACATTTTTTTTTCTTTCTAATTCACTAGGTGCTAACATACGTGATTTGCCAAATTAACATATAAATTTTTGGGCAATAGAGTGTATTTGTGTTGCACTTTGCTGCATCTGAAACACCATTTTTTTCTCTCTCACCTACAGTATGGTTAGCAGTGACAATGTCTATTCCATCCTAGCCAATTATATGAAATAGAAAAAATCATACTAATTGAAAAGAAGTTTTTTAATAAAGTTTTAAATTAAACATAACATTAGGTGGAAGGCCATGAATCAAACATTTGATAAAAAAATAATCCCTAGATTATTAATTCTTACGTTACTAATTCATGCGTTATTAATTTCTTTCTACCAAACAACCCCTAGTCTTCGAGGAGAATCTTGAGTAACCAAAAGGGAAGGATTTAGTGAGAATTAAATCTTATTTTATATGTTTTGTTACTAAACTGCCACTCAATTATCATATACTTATAACTTATTTGTTATTCTATAAGTAAATATTACGTCTTTTCATCTTCACATATAAGTTATGCAATTTCACAAAAGTTATAATTGAAACTTCAAACAGATATAAAGTTAGACTCTGATAAAAACTTTAACTTTAGTTTATACTCAACTAAAACATGTTTAAACTCCAGTATTTTTTATGAAGTTTAAAATGTGCAATTCAAACTCTACGAGTTTTACATATTTAGTTAGGAGTATTTTTATCCAAATTTTTTATTTACACAACAAAAAGAGAATATTTTTTAGTATATTTCAAGCAGCAGGTAAATTTTGACTATCGGACCAAAAAGTGGCTAACTCACACAACTTTTTACGATCATTATTAATTTGGGCCTCTTATTTTGTTTCCATCGGCCCAACCCGAAACCAGCCGAATGAATTATCTTCTTCTTCCTTATGTTAACCTAATTGTATCGTCACGAAGCTTTCCCCTTCGCCTCACAGAGCTCGAAATCGGTAGCCATTGTCAACCAGGATGAGGAAGCTTAAAGCTCATGAAAAGAAGCTTCTGAAGAAGGTGAACTTCCTTGAATGGAAGAGAGAAGGAGGTCACAGAGAAGCTGATGTCATGCGTCGTTACCATGTCACTGGCAGAGACGACTACAAAAAGTATGTCTTTCCTATATCACATGTAAATGTTTCTGCTCTTACAGTCTTATTGGTGTATAAACCTAATTCCTTATTTGTTTTATCTATTTAGGTACTCGGGTTTGTGCAGAACAGTGCAGAAGCTTGTGAATATACTGAAGCAGATGGACCCAAGAGATCCATATAGAATAGAGATGACCGATTCTCTTCTAGAGAAGCTGTGAGTGCTTTACCCTATTTTATTATGTTGGTATTCTCATTTATTGTTATTAATTACTCTTGTACTAGCTTATTTCTTCGATTTTAGTATTACATGTATTATTTGTTGTTGCTATTGTTCTCGTTTCCTTGTTTTCAGCATGTTTTTTTTTTCCTTTTCACTGCTGTGTTTGCTTTATACACTTGTTTTTCGATATTCTTTACTTAGCAGTGTATCGAAACAACTTCTCTAAGACTGCTTACACACCACCATCTGGAGATCCCACTTGTGGGATTACACTAGGTATGTTGTTGTGATAATTAAGTATCAAGTTTTGAGTTCCCTGATAATTTAAGTTGGTGAGAGATATTTTTCGAAGTGATACTAGTTACATAGGCTGAGTTAGAGTGGGTAGAAGGGGGGCAAAAAATTATGTTGTGTGTACTACAAGGTCAAATTATTTTATATGTATATATAGTAGATGTTGAATCCCTGCTTCTTTGTGTTTATTTCTTTATATTTTGAATACCCTTATTTAAAGTCCTAGCCATGGATATCAACTTGTGACCTTTGTTGTGTCGTCCAATTACTTTTTATATCTTGCTTAGGATATGTAGACAATGGTCAGTTAGGAAGACATGGGTGCATGAGTGATAGACCTTAATCTGTTGTAGCTATAAGATAACTCAACTACAGTACTTTTGTTTTCAATAAATGAGCATCAGATACTTGGTGAACATGTGATTTCTTCTGAAACAGTTGATGACTGCGTCCATCTCTGCCTCTGATATTCTGTATGCTTGATGTATGCATTACTATTTCATATGAACTTAATGCAAAGATGATGATTAGCAGTATATATATGTGCATGAACATTTCCACTCTTCCTCTTTTCTTGGTTTGAGAGATGTTTTTATTGCTCTTGTCCTTGGGCTGAAAATCTTTCCTCAATCATTTTCCCTGTGAGAGCACATCCCCCTTATCTCTCCTTATTATTGACACAGATTTCATGAAATTATAAATTCTGATAGATGTCTCCTTAACAGGTATAACATGGGCGTAATAACTACAAGGAAAAGCTTATCCGTGTGTGAGAACTTATCTGTGTCATCCTTCTGCAGGTAAATGAGCTCTCTATATTTCATATTATGTAGTTCTTTACAACTACAAACAAGTTGGGGTCAGCTATATGAATCATCACTTACCATATTACACCATTTTAACTCATCTCATGCCAATATTATGCCAATACAAATAAAAAATATTTAAATTCTCTATATTTTCTACACATAAAAATCTCTGAAAGGCAACATTATGCAGTTTTATGTGCATACAAAAGAACTGCTCACCTACCTATCTTCCAAGCACAAGCAATCATTTTGCAACTCTTCTTGGGTTCTTGATTTAAGACAACATTGCGAGTCACCACTAGTTGGTCATAAATGGAATTGTGTTGCTGCATGTTATTGTTCTTCCTGATCAAAATTTGCAAAAATAATGTTCTTGGTAATAAAGACATGCATGTATCTTCATTCACAGGCGTAGGTTGTCCACTATATTGGTGAGGCTGAAGTTTGCTGAACACATGAAGGAAGCAGTGACATATATAGAACAGGGTCATATTCGAGTTGGACCCGATACAGTTGTTGACCCAGCATTTCTCGTGACCAGAAATATGGAGGACTTCATCACTTGGGTAGATACATCTAAGATTAGGAGAAAGGTCTTGGAGTACAACGATAAGCTAGATGATTATGATGCAATGAATTGATGACTGGTGACGGATTTGTGAGCATTTGAGAATTGAATGAGAGAAATGGAACACATTCTTCTTGGCCATTGTTGGAGTTCCCTGGCAGGTTTACCTCCTGCTAGGTTGCCTTGTACCACCACCCCTCTACATTTTTGATCCTGTAGACCGTTGAAAGATGTACACATTATATTCAACAGTTAAGTTTGATAGAAAATCTTTGAAATTTCTAGCGAATGTTAGTAACTTAATTCACTGTCCATTTGTAGTAGACATCTTGATTTTGTTGATCACACATATCGGTTCTTTGGAGTTAAATTTATTGTAGACTCCTTATCGAAGATGATTTTCTAATGCTTATGGATGGTAGTATGTTTGGTGTCAACTCGATTTTATCGTACAAGATCTTATATGTAGGGATATTCTTGGGTGGTCAGCATATGAACTCTGAAATCTTTTACCCTATCAACACGAGAAAACGACATAAATAGTTTCTTAACTATGAGTATGTCTAAAATGGTCCCTTAACTATACACTTAACGGATTTAGTCCTTTAACTATTCAAAAACTTGTTAGTTTTGGTCTCTTAACTATACACTTACCGGTTTTAGTCCCTTCACTATAAACTTACCAATTTTAGTCCTTTAAGTATTCAAAAACTTATCAGGTTTGACCTTTGTCCATTTTTCAAATACAAGTAACTTAGGTTTATATTAACGGAATCTTCGTGGAATTAAATCTTTAACCCATTTTTTAAGTTGTTTCTCTGTTCCCGCCATTTTTTCTTCAAACTACTCTTATGAAAAGAACAATAACGTCAACGATTCAAAATAAAATTAATGAGGAAATAAGATATAAGTCCTAAGTTTATTCAATAGAGTATAAAACTAAGCATACAACTATTGTTAATGACTTGAATCCGCACTTGAATATGCTAATCAGTGCGGATTTTATTTAATTTACTCAAATTTCTTTACGTAAAATAAAATGAATAGAATAATAAAATTGATCTATTTAAAAAAAATGCAAATCTACCATTTTATAAATTTCAATTTCTAAAAAATTAAACAAATTCCGTTCAATGAAGTCGTTGGAGTACAAACTTTAAATTTAACGGGTAATAATTTTTTCCTTTTTATAATAAAGTTTAGCATATTTAAGTCATTAGTAGCAATAATATGCTTCATTTTATCCTTTGTTGAATAAAACTATGACTTATATTTTCTTTCCCCGTGAATTTTATTTTAAATCGTTGAGGTTAAGGTTCTTCGCATAAAGTTAATTTGAAGAAAAAGTAGCGGAGGGAGAGAAACAATAGAAAGTTGCTAAAGGATTTAATTTCTCGAGGCATGGATTTCGTTAATATAAACCTAAGCTATTTGTATTTAAAAAAAATGGACAAAGACCAAACCAGATAAGCTTTTGAATACTTAAAGAACTAAAATTGGTAAGTTTATAGTTAAGAGACTAAAACCGGTAAGTGTATAGTTAAGGGACCAAAACTGATAAATTTTTGAATAGTTAAAGGACTAAATCCGTTAAGTATATAGTTAAGGGACCATTTTAGACCTACTCCTATAATTAATGGACTATTTATGTCATTTTCTCCTATCAACTCTACAATCTTTTACCCTAGGAACATGTCTTAGAATTTTTATGAAAGAAGAGCTTCCAATATCAATGATAATTGATTGAGCTCCTAATTTAAGACTAGAAATTCTGTGAAGAATTCAAAGTTGGAGGTTTCAGTCTCATTTTTTTTAAGGCTAATCATTTCATTTCTACACTTTTTCTTATCTTTATGGAGGTTTATTTTATGTACTCCAAATCTCATCTTTTTGTGCCATTAAGGCATCTTTTATGGAGGCTAATATAGTGATTGTTACCTTTAGAAGACATTGAAAGTAAAAATAATATTTATATGAATTTAATTATTTGATTATCTAATTAGTTTGAGTTTGAAATGTTTAATAAAATATATATTTGTTTGAATTTAATTATTTGATAATCTAGTTAGTTTGAGTTTGAAATGTTTAACAAAACATCTTAAAGTATTGAAGACAATTTTACAAAGCCAATATTAAAACATGGTTCATTCAAATTGAGGTAAATTAACAAATTAAGAAATAAAAAATAGTTGTAAATAAAATTATCTATGATTTTTAATTATAATTACGTCAATACTAAATTTTCAATAATATGTGCATAATAATCTGTACTCCTTACGTTCCTATTCGCATGTGGTCCTTATTAAAAATAAATGTTTCTTAATACGTAAATAATGCTACCTCTGTCCACTTTTAATTTTCATGTTGCGTTTTTGAAATTCAATTTGACTAATTTTCAAAATTAAATTAGATTGCATTAATTCAATATTTTAAACAAAAAAATTAGATATTCAAAAACTATACGAAAAGTACTATCAATTGCATTTTTTTGCATATCAATATGATGAAAAAATACATCGTAAAATGTTAGTCAAAATTCTTATAGTTTGACTCTAAAAAAGGAAACTATGATAAATAAAAGTGGACGGAGGGAGTATTACACTTCCTATTTTAGCCTTTACATGTGGTCTTTACTAAAAATAAATGTTTCTTAATACGTAAATAATATTACACTTTCTATTTTACCCTTGAGAGTCATTAGCGTTGAAAGTATGTTTTTAACCAATATAGAAAAATTAAATGATTAATTCATGTTCATTGGTCAATTTTATTAATCCAAATAAATTAATTTATGTTCATTTATTGAAAAGTTGACTTTAAGAGAAAGCTAAATAAATATATATATAATGGTAAATTTATCTAGTTTCTTAAGAAATATGAAATTTAGAACTATGACATATATATAAAAATAATAACGAAGGGAGTAAGAGATTAACAACAACCTGTTAAGAAAGTTTTAATTTATAGTAACAATAAATACATTAACTTTTTTTATATTCTAGTGAGGCAATTTTGTTTCTTCCGTGTGTTTAATTACGGTGCTTCTCACAATTAGGAGTAACACTTTACTTAGCGTGCTTTCTCATTATAAATAAATACAGATTGGTTGCTCCTTCATCTTTTGTCTGCGTCTTCTATCCAGTGCTTTTGGTTCTTCGTTTAATCTGCTCGAATTTTGTTAATGTTTTGAGTATTAATATGGCAAGTCGTGCTTAGACTAGTGGGAGTGTTGAAATAATGGTTGAAAAATAAATAACAGTTTCGTTTTTACTGATTCATTGAGTTAGTTAGAGTTACTGTTACATTGAGTCAGTTAGAAAAGTTGTTACTGTGATGAGGCTGAGTTAGTTAGAAGATTCTAGAGGCTGCTAGATGGTTGTATAAGCCTATATATATATATATATATAGTGTACGTGATGAAGAAAAGTAATAAGATCATTCATTTTTCTCTTCTTCTCAAAGTTCTTCAGTTCAATTACTTTTCTCAGCATGTTTTCATATGGTATCAAAGCAGGTTCATTGTTGTGTATGTAGAACAGGTTATAGACGAAAGTTAAAGGAGAGTAGATCTGGAGAAGCTTGTTGAGAGATTCAGAAATGGCAGTTGTTTAGATCTGGAGAAGCTTGTTGAGAGATTCAAAAATGGTAGTTGTTAAGATAGATCCGAGTGATCCATTGTATATAGGTCCATCAGATGCATCAGGTGCTACGTTGATTCCTATTAAGCTAATTGGATCAGAGAATTATGGAATTTGGAGTCGATCAATGAGAATTGCATTGTTGGGGAAAAGGAAGTATGGATTTGTAACTGGAGCTTGTAGCAGAGCACTGTACAAGGATGAATTGCATGAGCAATGGGAAACTTGCAATGCAATTGTCTTGTCGTGGTTGATGAGCTCTGTAGCTGAAGAATTGTTAAGTGGAATTGTGTATGCAACGAGTGCATATGAAGTATGGCAGGATCTGAAAGAGAGATTCGATAAGGTGAATCGTATGAGACTTTATCAATTGCACAGAGAAATCAACTCACTTGTACAAGGAACTGATTTAGTATCGAATTACTTCACTAGGCTGAAGAATTTATGGAATGAATATGATGCTGTGGTACCAGCTCCAACTTGTGTTTGCCCAAAATCGAAGGATTATGCAGATCACATGTATGAGTTAAGGCTAATTCAGTTTTTGAGTGGCTTGAATGATTCATATGATCAAGCTCGAAGGCAAATATTACTGAAAGGAGTTACACCTACTATCAATCAGGCATATGCTATGATAATGGAAGATGAGATTCAACATTCAACATGTATGACTGCTGTGGGAGAAAAGGTTAATCCAATTGCAATGCAGGTGAATAGAAGTCCAGAAATCAGTTATGGAAATCAAAACTACAAAGGAAAGAAATGTGATTACTGTCATTACACTGGACATACTCGAGAAAACTGCTATAAATTGATAGGCTATCCTACAGATTGGAAGCAAAGAAGGAGAGGAAACTACAATAATGGAAATCCAAGAGGAGCAGTGCAAAATTCTCAGTCTGGAGGGTTCAACAATGGACAACAATATGGAAATCAAGTCAGAACTAACTTTGCTGGAAACAATTCAAATGGAGAAACTAGCCATTATGCATCACAAAGTAATGAAGGGAACAAAGAGGTTAATAATGCTGTGTTGTCCAGGGCACAAGGATTTACAGATGGCGAATACAAGCAAATCATGGAGCTGTTGAACAAGGATCCACATGAGATGAAACAGATCAATATGTCAGGTATGTCTACTTGCTTATTGTCTCCTGTAGAATCACAAGAGTGGATCATAGATTCTGGTGCTACTCACCATGTGACAGCAAATAAGAGTGTGTTTTCAAAGAATCATGAGGTGAGGGATAAGGTACATCTTCCTACTGGTGCTAAGGCAGATATATCACACATTGGAGAAGCATTTGTTTTTGAAGATGCAGTTGTGAAAGATGTGTTATTAGTGCCTGATTTCAAGTTTAACCTACTGTCAGTATCCAAGGCTACTAAACAACTGTCCTGTTTTGTATCCTTTTATCCTGATTTTTGTGTGTTTCAGGACCTTCACAGTGGCAAGGTGAAGGGGATTGGTAAGGAGAAGGGAGGGCTATACATTTTCAAAGGTACATATGGAATGAAGGAAACTTCTAAGGCTCAAAAACAGCAAAGTTTGATTGCAGGACTACGTAGTACACGACATCAATCTATGGCATAAAAGACTTGGCCATCCCTCCTCTCAAGTTCTGAAGTCAGTAGTGTTTTTAAAGCAGAATAAAGACATAGATTCCTTAAGTACTTGTCATGTTTGTCCTTTAGCTAAACAAGCTAGGTTACTATTTCCAGATAGTAAGAATAGAGCAGCTGTGTGTTTTGATCTTATACATGTAGA